GCCAATAAGCTAGGCCTATCTTCTCTCACTGAACGGCGATATGCTGCAGATATCAGGTTCTTAGAATGATTAATTATTGGTAATGTTGAGTCCTCTGAACTTCTTTTACTAATTTATTTCAAGGTTCCACAGTGTTCTACCCGAACTTTTACTTTTTGTCCCGTATGCTTCTACCAATTATTTAGTGAACGAGCCATTAAGGCGTTTAATGTCTTGTTCCAATAAGAACATTCATTTCACTAATTTTTTATTTAACACTGATACGTGTGAACAGAGAGTGAACAAAACTGATAGCCGACACAGGTTTTCTTTATATGATAAGGTGGCGTCAACCGTTTAATGTTAATCCACACAACAAAAGAAAAAGAACAGAACAAGAATGTCTAAGATTTATACACGTGTACAGATATTGCCACTTTTACAATTAATTCAGCGTATAATGATAATAATTATATGACAGAATACAGAAACAAGTTGACGACGACGTATATACGTATATTTGCGGCGGGTCGTAGATGGACGTGTGGCACTTGCTGGATTTTGTCCCGTGGCGTATCGCACGCGGTTATAGTCAGTCAAACTACCATATGTACGTAGTAGGGCGACGGCTGATAAAGTTGTCACAGGTCGCGGTGCTCCGTGTATCGAGAACGCCGCGGTACTGTGTCAAATACCCCCCCGCCAATCCGCCGGTCTACTCAGTGAATTGAATAACGCGCGGCGCGGTTACCAATTGGTAACAAATAGCTAATTATATCAGGTTGTGTAGCGCGAAATGACATCAGCGGCCGTGGTCTGGTACCATCCGTTCGCGTATCGCGATTGGATTACAGGACTGGTGAGGGACGTGTACCTGTTGAGCTCGGGGTGGGTTGCCGGGTCCCAAAATGCTGGTCCGCAACATTTATCACCCTCCTGGTAGGGGTGCTCGAGGCCCGTACCTCCAGTGTGGGCTGGGTTGCACGGGGGACCACTACGAGCGCACTACGCTATTGTATAGTATAGTATTGTATAGTATATAATCTATGTTTCAACTAAATTTCAAATATTTAAAACAATTTTCTAGGGATTTAGAGGCCTACAAAGTTAGAAATTTTATAAAAAGTCACGTATTCTAGATGCATTGTCTCTGTTGGGGGACCTAATTTCAAAAATTTTTTTTTTTTTAGTTTTTTAGTTATATATCTGCTTAATACACCATAAAAATTTGAAGTTTGAGAAAAAAGTTTAACGTGTAAAATTTAGCATTAGGAAATCAGTAAAAATCCGTTCAAAATCATGTAATTTAATGATAGTTTTTTGTTGTTTTCAAACCATGTTTTATTAATTTTTTTTAGCTTCGATGCGAAGCTGAGAAGGTATTGGTTTTACTAAGATGTGGTTTTTTTTTTTTTTTGTGTCTGTTACCACTTTTTCTCAGCTCTCACCGAACCGATTTCTTTCAATGATACGTCAAAAGATCACAAATCGTATCTAGTCGAAGACATTACTCTTAAAAATTGAAAAAAATTCCCTCGTTCCCCGTAAATGGGGGAAACCTCCAAAAAAATTACAAATTTAAAAATCGCTAATTTTCGAAATTTTTTCAATTTTTTTTACATAAAAGTGCCATAACTTTTTTAAAAATGAACATATCAATATAATTCTTTTATATAGATGCATAATATCATTACCTTTCATTTGGTATATTTTTTTCATAAATTTAACCCTTAACCCTTATTATAAAGCGCATTACCTATCAAAAGTAAGCAAGCAAAAATATTGCGCCAAAGTGGTGGGGTCCCGTCAGTTTAGCGGAACGCCTAGGTTAAAGAGTGTTTTTAACAGACCAGAATCCCCCGCGAAAATTCATGTCTTATGTATGAAAAAGTGAAAAAAAAGTTTCTATGACACGTAAAACCACAGACTGGCTGACGGACTGCGATATTTATATGTTTTTTTTATGCCTGTTTCAGCATGAACAACAACAACAACAACGGCACCAACCCAACAAATAACCCCCCATCTACGTCCTTACAGGAACTACACCGATTCGAATATTTGAAAATCACTATAAAATAATAACTTCTTAATGGTTTAGGTGAGCTCAAAAACGCCAATTTTCTCAAAAAAGCACCATTTTTAGAAAGTCATTTAAGTTTGGAATTTCACATAAATTTTTTTTTTTAATGTTAACGTTAAGTTATAATAAGGTCAATCCTTTTTTTTTTTTGTATTTTGACTTTTATTGAAAAAATCACTTGAAAATCTCTAATATAAGTTTTTTTTTATTGTTTTATAGAGTATTCTTCGAAAATTCGATGTCAAAACCTTAAAATGCTGTGCGCCTCGATTTAAATTTTTCCAAATGATTTTAAATTTTCAGAATATTATTTTTTTATACTAAAGAAAAAAAATGGAGGGGTGTCCCGAAAGAAATTTCGAAATTCAAAAAATAAGGACCACCCTAGTGTGGGTCCTTTGCGCACAATTCCGTATTTATGGGCTATTGCCGGCGTGGTATATGATTTTTGCGCTTGTGAGTCAAATAATGCCGTCACAAAGCCGTTGTTAAATTCAAGTTTCACAGCGGGAGTTGTAATTTTACGCGGGCGTGTTTATTTTGCAAAACTCAGGTGGTTTACGGTTCGAACGGGGAGTGTCTGAACGGTTTGTCCGCCGGCGGTGTCAATTGCCTTAAGCGTGTAGGACGTCCGGCTGGTATCCCCTCCCCCACTGTGTCCAAAATAATTTTGGGTACACGACTCGCGCTGTTATCGTATAACACGGGGACTTTTGTTTTCTCGAAAGTATGATTAATTTTTTTAAAGACCTTGAGGACCGCATTGAGCCCCTCACAGTGGTTGGGGGGGTGCGGTAAGTGAATTTAAAGGGGCTACAGCTTATCCTGCGTTGTGAGCGAGGGACTGTAGTCCTGGTTGAGGGCCCGGTGAATGGGCGAGGTGAAGTGGAAGGTCGATAAAAATTTCGTAATTTTGACCGAGAGGAACGCGCTTGATTTCGTTATCGGTGACGAGCGAACTAGCCGTTCGCGCTGCGCGTTGGATTGTGTATTTGATAGTGAGTGATCGAGATTGTATTTTTGAGCCAGGAGAGCGGACTAATTTCTCCGTGGCTGATGCCCGTTTCCCGAAACTGTTGGCCTATTTGGGCAACTGCTGTGCTAATGATCTGCTCCGCAATATCGTCAGGGTCGGGGGGACGTTCCGCAATAAGCTCGCCCGCCCGCTGTCGAACAACTTGCGGCGGTTGGGGGGGCGCAGGGGCGGTACATACGGCTTTAAGTTAGCTTTTAGCCTATCCGTGCATAAGGGCTAAAGACAGACTACACGATCTACGATATGCTGCTCTGAACAACTGGGGCGTGCGCGCATCGCTAAACGTTGTTTATTTATATAAATTTCGTCATACGCTGATGGGGCCCCTGTTGTGTTGTCATGAGTTCGTTTTCCAGCTCGGCTTGGATGCTGTTATTATCGAATGCCACGAGAAACTCCCTTGAAAATTGGCGCCAGGACATGTTCAACTTAATGGACTCCCACCAAGTAAATGCCGTGTCCCATAAAAATTGTACCCCGGTTTTCACCCATAAATCGTAGTGAATACCGGATTGAGTCAGGAGATTTTCTAGCTGCTCCAGAAACTCCCTCGGGTTATCCTCATATTTTCCCGTGAACTCGGGAGACGGAGGACGTAAAACAGGCGGATTATTGTTCGGTATAGTCACCAAATGTGTATATGAACGGGTTTGTGAGGACGGTGACAAATGTTTGGTCTGAAATGTCCCGTGTGTTGTGGGCGCACGTCTAAATGAAAAGTTGGTTCGTGCGTGCTCGCTCGAGGTAGTGATGGAGACGCGCACGTGGTCTGGCCGGCTAATCGTTGTATGTTGCGCGCTTCACTAAGTAATATTATCACATTTTGCCAGTTTACACAAGTTTAAAAATGAATTTTTCAGTGGGCCAAGATCCCAATTAATTAAATTGTTTTTATTTTTAAGCATTTCTATTGCTTCTCTGATATTAAGTTCTTTGTAATTATTTACGTTTTTAATTAATTTTATGGTTTTAATGGAGTGATTATGTGTCAATAAATGTTCAGCCACTGGAGATTTCTCAACTTCTTGATTTTTAATATTTCTTAAGTGCTCTTTAAACCTGACCCCTATATTTCTTTTTGTTTGTCCTACGTAACATTTATTACAACTTTCACATTGTATTTTATAAATGCCTGATTTCCCCCTTCATCTACCTTATCTTTAGGGTTATCTAATAAATCTCTTAAATTATTACTCTTAGATGTTACCAAAGGTAATACCAAAATTCTTAAATATTTTAGTTAATCCATTTGAGATGCCCGGATAAAATAAAATTGGTGATCTAATTACTTTTTGTTCCCCCTCGCTGGAGAGTGTACTAGCTGCCNGTTTTGTTCCCCCTCGCTGATGAGTGTACTAGCTGCCCTCCTTTCTTTTTTCCACTTTTGTGTTCGGACTAATTTTGAAATTATGTTTTCGTTATACCCATTAAATTTAGCTATTTCTTTTATAACCACCAATTCTTTATCATAATCTATTTTATTCATCGGAATATTAATTAATCTGTAAACCATACTATTAAAAGCTGACAATTTGTGTTGCCAGGTGTGGTTCGATGTGTTCGGAATGTATCTGAACGTGTGTGTGTTTTTCCGATGAATTTCAAAATTTAGTTCCCCCTCTGTTCTTTTAACTAATAAATCCAAAAAAGGCAATTTTCCCTCTACTTCTTGTTCATATGTAAATTTAATCGATGGGTAAAAAGAATTTAAATGTTGTATGAAAACCCCCATATTAAAATCTTTATTTATAACTGCAAAAATATCATCGACATACCTAACCCAAATTTTTGGAAAATCACCATAAGTGTATTTTAAATTTGTTATATATTTTAACTTTGTGTTTTTACGTTATATAAATAAAATAATTATTTAAAAACCTGTACTCGAGAGTGAATACCTTACATCTGTTGCAATATTAAAATTTGTGTGTGTGCGTCAAGAGTCGAGGTTGGATTACTGGTCCGTTAGTCAATCATAACAATTAGTGTGAGTGCTGGCTAGTTTTTGGACTTAACCGTCCTTTAGTAGATATTATGAAAAGGTAGTTGTGCTGGTGGCTGACAAGGAGCCACCCCTCAGTCTGCTACTTTTGAGCTAGATCGTGCTGACGGGTCTAAACTCTACCTCTTTAGTAGTTCACTAATTGGAGGGATTGGGGCTGACCAGCGTATCCAACGGGAGGATTCGAGAAAAGATAAAAACAATTAACTCGTCGTCTAAAGACGCTATTTAATTTGTGCATTACTTTTTGTGTCTACGTCGGGGTACTACCGATAAATTATATCGACATATAAAAATTATTCGACTATGTGTTCTAATTGGCATTCCTACTAAAATTTTTTTTTTTTTTTGTAACTACCATAATAAATAATTTATGGATCACCTTATGAGATTATACCCGTCAACTTGGCAGCAATAATACCGGATGCACAGCCACTGGTATTATTTAAAGTTAACATAATAGAAAAACTCTGTAATGATCAAAAAATTAATTGGATTAATAATAAATTATTCATTGATACACTTTATTTTTTATAATATAAACTAAAAACAGTTGACTATGAATTGATAATCCTATTTAGTATTGTAATTACGATTTGAATCCTTGTGGAGTACTTTAAAGATATCTATTAAATGTTCTCAATTGTTTAGGAATATCAATTAACAATGATGATTTATTCTGTGATTCATGGTTGTTTCTAGAATCTTCGCAATTAGATTTTTCTGGGAATGTAATAAATAAAATATAGAATTAATATTTATATCTCTTAATGACAATATACAAATTAATTATTCATGCTTTTAATTGATTCTCAATATTAAATGATTTATCTTCATTTTTTTTTAATTAAAAGAAGACTATGAAAAAGTTATATTAGTTTAAAAATTAAATCAGGTTTTGTAATAAATTAAAATATAATTAACTAAAATTAGTATCTTAAATATATAATGTATCTTAGAATAATACCTTCAATATTTTCATCATTCAGAATTTGAGTAGAAACTATTACAGTATCTTCATAAAAATGCTCTAGAAAATGTACAATTTATTATTTTATTTTTAACTCATGATATTCAATATTACGATCAATATTTATAATTAAATGATGTTTGTTAATAGCTGAACGATACAACAAAGAAAATGTTTTCCTAATGATTCAATTCCATTAAATAATCATAAAACAATTTTTCTTAAAAATTACTATTTTAAATTATCTAAGTAGATTAGTACCTTCAAGATTTTTTTTAATCAGAATTTCTGTAGAAGCGATTAAACTTATTCAACTATGACTTTATTGTCTAATAAAAGTAATAAATATTCTAAAATAGTAATTCCTAATTATGAATCAAAGAGAATAATTGAAATAAGAAATTTGTATGAAAGTATTTTTTTATAATTTGTGAATTATTTAAGATCATTTTCATTTGGTAATAAAGTAATATTAATCAAAGAATTATCAAATAAATAGCCGTTTATGAATAGCTATCAATTTGAAATGTTAATACAGAAATATGCCCAGAATATTATTAGCAGTAAGAAATAAATTAAAATATTTTTACCTGTTTCTGATGATTCTAGTTTATGTGGTATAAGAGTTTCATTTGTATCTACGTTGAATTTAAACCCTAAATTAACATATTTTTTTTGAATAGCCCATTGAGTAAAAGTTATTATTTTATAGTTGAGATAATTATACAACATGAGACTTGTCCCATTTATTTGCTTATTGTAATATTCCTGAGACAAATTTTGCCAAAATGACATATAACTCTCAGTATTAATGTTGCAAATACTCATGCTTTCATTTATTTCTTTATTCCATTTACTAATGAAACTAAACATTATTAATAATGTTTCATCAGTATTCTGTTGATTTACTTGTAAATCAGGTAACAATTTTAACATTTTTTCATCTTGTAGATCCTTAATTAATGTAATTGAAATAAATATTTTTATATGATTATTTTCTACTGGAGATTTAAGGATTTTATCCAAAGCATCTATGGCGCTTCCCATACGTATTACTAATGAAGTTATAGAAGACATAGTGTTTAGAAGTTCAATAGTGCAATCATACTTAAAACTTTTTACTTTTTGTTCAATTGAAAAATATTTACAGTATTCTTGAAAATTATTTAATATAGAGAAAATATTTTTTTAAATATTGGCGTAAGAACATCCAAGTAATAACGTTAAACAACGTATTTGTTTATCATGTCTATATGTATTTTTAACTATATCTTTTAATGTATGATTTTGCCTCGAATATTTGATGTAGTTTACATCATTCATATTTTTCCAACCATTATGTTTCAATAAATGATTGATTTTATTTGAAAGATTCTCAGAGCTCCATTCTACTTCATTGTGAAAACATGAAAAAAAAACCACAAATATATTTTTATAAATATATTGTAGTTCACATATTTTATAGATATAAGTAGTGAATATATCATAATAGTGTTATATAAAAGAGGAAAAAATGATAAAAATTAAACAACAGTTTTTTAATCAGTAGCTTATTTTATAATGAGTAATTAACTAATAATATATATTTCTCATAATTATTAATTTATAAAATTAACGGGCATAGCCCCTCTTTAAAATCTCAGGTTGTTTAACAATTTCTTGAAATATTATATAATTAACAATAAATCATTTAAAATATAAAGACCAAATAATATGAAACACAAATATACAAAATTAAAAATATTTTTAGCTATACAAAATATGATAAGTGAGGTTAATAAGATAACACATGAAGGTCTATATTGGCACTATTTAAAATTCGTCAAAAAACTCATTCAATAAATAAAAAGTTGAACTAATTGAGGTGAAAAATGAAAAATAGGAACGTGAATATTTTTGTGAAACTTTAAAATTAATTAATGACAAAAGATAGCATTAGTCAATTTTACCATCCATTTAAAAATTTTAGGCCATCATCAATTCTGCGATACACTACAAACTAGCTTAGTTTGGATTCCACGATAATTTTGATAGAATCTGCCAACAAGAAACTTAGAAGATGAGTTGTCTAAGAGGAGCGATGATTTAAATGCCGATCTGTTATCCCGTTTTTTGAACCACATGAAATAACTACAGGCATATCCTTTTGTTAACAATTTTTAATTTTTTCTCTCCATTAGAAGTGCTGTGATCAAGTTTTTCATGATATGCACACAGTAGTTAGCATTTTAAAAGGGTTTTGTCACGCATAATTCGAAAATTATTAGCTAATGTTACTACACTACGTTTACTCGAATTATACTCCATTGTAATTTGGAAAAGCTAACTCTTTCGTCACACAAATAATTTTTAGAGTGCAATTGAAGTTAGGCGTGTTTTACCTAAACGAACAGCCTGAAGTAGGCGGAACGGCTCTGCTAAGAGGTTTAAGAGGATTAATTAATGCATTGACGACTGAATTCATAAAGTAGAATAACCGTCGGTTCAACTCGATTTAAATTCCAGTAAAAGCTAAAAATTTTCATCAATAGAAGGAAAAAATATATATCATCACAAAATCAATACATTTTCAGCTTTGTATCGAAACCAAAAATACAAGCTATTAATGCAGTAGGAGATTATTGTATCTTAGACATCTTGTAATTTGGTCTTAATATTTAAAAAATTTAAAATTAAAGTTAAATACGTCATTAGTCTTATTTAAATAAATTTATTAACTATTATATAAAACTATTTTGTTTCTGTATAACAGGAAAAAAAAATTTTTTTTTATTTATTTTTTGTGTGTCTCGTACCACTTTTTCTCAGCTCTCACCGAACCGATTTCTTTCAACGATACGTCAAAAGATCAAAAATCGTATTTAGTCAAAGAAATTACTCTCAAAAAATGAAAAACGTTCTCCGTAAATGAGGGAAATTTCCAAAAAAATTACATGTTTAAAAATCGCTAATTTTCGACATTTTATCAATTTTTTTTACTTAAAACTGCCATAACTTTTTCAAAATTGAACAAATAACTATAATTTTTTTTTTTAATAGATGCATAATGTCCTTACCTATCATTTGATATATATATTTATTAATTTGACCATTTACCTGCCCACAGGGGAGATTCAAAATGTCAACTTTTTCACAAAGAATTAACTTTTTAAAAAAAATTTGGGACTTTATTTTGTCTTCACGATGAAAATGGCTATCGTATACTATTTTGTGTTAAAATTCTCGATCTTATATTTTACATATATAACTTTAAAATGTTATAACTTTTTAAAAAATGTATGGATCATTATAATTTTTTTAAGAGAAATAATATTTATATTTTTTAATACTGTAGCTTTTGGAATAATCCATTAATTTTTTTAAATTAAACACTATATACAGATTTGCATCGAAGCGTTTTTTATGATAGTAATTTTAATCACTCTCAGATATCATCTATGCTGAACCTAACTATGTCACGACCCCACTGTGCTGGGTTTTTTTGTATACTAGTATATCATCCAATTAGCTACCTGTATTTACAATCCCATGTGTATTATACATGTATATTAACTCAAAAATTTGAAACTTTAAATGTTTATATCTAGTAAACTAATAAAGTTATATTAAAAATTCAAATGCCATTTACTATTAAATTAAAAACTCAAACATTTTAATTAATTCAATATATGTGTTTCCATTTAAAAAAACAAAGTTAAAACCCTTACAAGGCATAAGGGATGATCTTAAAAAGTATTACACAGTTAAAAATTCAAGAATAATGTGATATAAAAATAAAAAAAAAAAAAAAAGTTTAATTTATTATTATTCTGTAAGTAATTGAGTGGGTTATGATAAAAAAATCACCCTGTATAGTGTTTAATTCTAAGAAATTGGTGAATAATTACAAAAGAAAAATGAGGAGAGACTACAGTTATCAAATGAAAATCATAATAATCATTATAATAAAAATCAAATGATTGTAAAAACGAAATATTTACTCCTATAAATGTTGAGATATTTAATTAAAAAAAGTTTTTTTGAAGTGGCCATTTTTTACAGTAACGTAAAATTAAGATATTTGTTGAATTTCTAAAACTAAGGATATTTTCTAATATTTGGTAATTATAAGTTGAACATGATTAAAATTGTGTTCTTTTAATGTATTGGTCATCTGAAAAAAATTAACGACAAACACAAAAAAAAATCAAATAATAAAATATTTTAATATGAATATGAATTTTTTTCTCACAAAATGATATTATAATGATAAGATCCTTGATATTTATATAATTTAAATGAAATAAAAATCAAACGAACTCTGAGGTTTTTTTCTACCTCAAAAAAGAATTAAGAAAAAATGCAAAAAAGATAAATACGAAGAACAGGGTTCGGAACTTCATACCTAAGCGTTTAAAACTGTAATACATTCGACGAAGTCACTGTGTATTCATAAATAATAGCTAAAAATAACAATTTAAGCTAGTTAAAATTTCGAAACCGGTTTTCTTAATTTTGGACTCATTATTATAGCAAACCCGTATACAGTATTTTAAAATAAAAATAAAAATATTGAACACAAATATAGCATGTTTTTTTTAGTACAGCAATCATTTGTATATAGAAGATATTTTTTATCTTCCGTTAGAAGATTATTAATCTTCTTTTAGAAGTAAATTTTTTTTTTTATTTATAGTATGTAACATAAACTTTAATTTAACATATGTTTAATGGACACAGTATTTTCGGAATATTTTCAAAAATTATATGAAATAAAATACTTAAGGTTACAATCTAAAAAAAAAATTTTGTTTTTATTTGTTCATTTTCAATAAGTTATGACAATTTTTAGAAAATAAGTGAAAAATATGTCAATATTTTCCGATTTTAAAATTGTAATTTTTTAGTCGATTTCAACTATTTACGGGGAACGAGGGAAAAATTTTCAATTTTTGATGGTAATGTCTTCATTTAGATACGATTTTTGATCTTTACACATATCGTCGAAAATCGGTCCTGTGTGAACTGAGAAAAAGTAGTGACTAACACAAAAAAAAATAAAAATATAATAAACACATCGTAGTAAAATTAATACCTTCTCCACTTCCTATCGAAGGTGAAAATACCAAGAAGTGAAACAGGTGTAAAATGTGTAAAAGTATTATGAAAGTTTTAGAATGTGTTTTTAACAATGTATATCAAAATAAATTAACTATTAGTAATTCTATGAAGTTTTATAATTTTTCAAAAACAAAATTTATTTCCTTCATTAAAATGAATATAAGATCATAAAAAACAATTATAAATAAAAACCCGGCACAGTGGGTCGCGGCACAGTGGTGACATGGTATAGTTCGATCAAGTATAATGATATCTGACAGTGATTAAAATCACTATCAAAAATAAAACGCTTCGATGCAAATCTTTAGATAGTGTTTAATTTTAAAAAATTGGTGGATTATTCTAAAAGCTACAATATCTGCTAGTTCCTTATTAATATCTTGATTAAGATAAAGTAAGTCGAATGAAAAAAGGATATAAATATTATTTCACATGTAAAAAATAAAATCGAGAATATTCACACAAAATAGCATTTGGTAGCCATTTTCACCATGAAGACAAAATAAAGTCCCAAATTTTAATTTCCCACAATAAAGTATATTACATTAGCTTTAATTTAAGATATATATAAAAGTGCCAGTCTTTCCGGAACATTTTCAAAAGTTAAGTTGGAAAAGTTAATTTTTTGTTAAAAAATTGTCATTTCAAATCCTCCCCTCTGTGCAGTTTTATAAAAAAAATAAACCAAATGATAGATTAAAACATTATGCATTTATTAAAAAAAAATTATATTGATTTGTTCAGTTTTGAAAAAGTTATGGCAGTTTTAAGTAAAAAAAATTGAAAAAATTTCGAAAATTAGCGATTTTTAAATTTGTAATTTTTTTGGAGGTTTCCCCCATTTACGGGGAACGAGGGAAATTTTTTCATTTTTGAAGGTAATTTCTTTGACTAAATATGATTTGTATTCGTATCGTCAAAAGAAATCGGTTCCGTGAGAGCTGAGAAAAAGTGGTAACAGACACAAAAAAAAACACATCATAGAAAACCAATACCTTCTCAGCTTCGCATCGAAGCTAAAAAAATATATATATATAAACACATTATAGTAAAACTAATACCTTCTCAGCTTCGAAGCTAAAATGGAATAAACACAAAGAGACTGGTTAAAAATGGCTTAGATATGTTTTTAAACGTAATAATAAATTGTATTGATGAAAACCTGAAGCCTGGAACATGTCTAGAGTATTAATCAAACCAATAAAAAGGAATATTAAAGAAGATAATGAAACATTAAAAATTAATGTTAAAAATAACAATGAATCAAATGAAGCCCTACGTAATGTTGAAAAATTGTAGAAGATGATATTCTTATAACAGCAATAAAAAAAGCTATTATTTATAAAAAGAAATAAAAGAAAGGGTAAAAAAATCTTTATTTCATTATTTAGTTTTTTCTCTTTATGTTTTAATTAATTGTGTTTAAAAAGTTTATTTGTTTAAATTATTGATACTAATAGAATTGACTTTAGTCTTTTTAGTGTATACCTAAAAATTCTACAAATTATATTTAGATTAAAATAAATCTGTTTATAAATTTTTACACCAACATAATTTATGTTAATTTGAACTAATCCATGTTTTGACTTATAGCAGACAACATTACAAATATTATGATAAATGTTAAAAATATTATTCTATTACTTAAGCTATACATTTTTGTCAATTATTTTTTGGAAGTACATATACCTGTATTCAGTAAAAATGTTTCTTTGGTATTTGAATCGAATTTGAATCCTAGATTCTTATATTTATTATTATTAGTCCAATGGATTAAAATCTTAATTTTATGTCTAACAAAGGTCCAAAGTTCTTGATTACCTCCTTTTTCTTTTAAACATTGATATTGCTTTATTAAAATTTCCCATAATGTATCCAAATTAGTAGATGTCAATTTACATAATTTTAAATCGTCCTCTAGATTTATTCTTCTATCAAGAAAATAATTTTGTATTGTTTTTAATACGTATTCAGTATTTGATGGATTTACTTTTATATGGGATAATAAGTTTAAAGTTTCCTCAATACATAATTTAGTAGTTACATTATTTAAAATAAGTGTTTTATGTTTTGCCATTGGCATACAATGTAATTTGTCTAATGTAACTAATGCACCTTTCATTAATGTTGCTAAGTAACTTAAATTTGGTATTGTGTTGATTAGTTCAATAGTGCAGTCGTACGCATTTTTGTTTTTATTTTCTGGATTTATTAATATTTCACAATACTTTAAAAAACAATCTATAATAAAAAAAAATTTCTTCAATGTGTTGGCATAAGAACATCCAAGGATTACTGTTGCACTACGAATGTGAGTATAGAAATTTTCTGCTGTGACAGGCGTTTCTAATAATGATTGTAAAGTATACTTTTGAGTTCTGTAAATAATATATTCCACATCAGTCAATTTTTTCCAACCATCATGTTTCAATATATACTCAATTGTATCTTTGGTACTATTTATTATTTCAATATATGTAACCATAGAAAAAATTAATACATATAATTTAATACTTCGAAAATTTTTCATTTTAATATTATAAATGTGTTAAAAAATTTCATAAAATCTAACATAGAAATGTTTTAACAAACATGAAAATTATAACTGTTGTTAATTATTTATAAACGCTTAAATTAAATAATGAGTTAAGCTATAGAGTTAATTTTAGACATATAAGAGCGGGGCAAGATATTCTCACATTTTAAAATATATATTAATATATAGTAATATTTGCAAACTTTTTATGGATATATTTTTAAAAATATTAAACAAACAGTGATAATTCTTTCCAAAACAATTTAAATTAACGCATCTGTTTCTAAATATTTCTCGGGGAAATATAATATTGTTGAAATCGAAAGTTGATATGAGTATAGAATATGAGTAATGAGAGTAAAAATTAATTTTTCGTGTAAAACAGCTCAACAAAAAATATAATTACCAATGCTCCTAATATTCTAGTTTCCCTTGATTCCTCCAGCTCTGTACTTTGAACATTACTTAATTACTGATGTCCAACATGTGTATCATTCCTCTTATAAATATAATTTTAAATGTGGTAATTTTGAACAAATGTCAAGCGATTTAGCTTTAGCTGATTTGACAATCTTATACAAATGTAAAAGTATAAATTTAATAAATTAATTATTTAATGATATATATCTTTATAATATTAATTTATTTATTCCTAAAATATTTCCAAATGATTCTTCCTTCTCTAGATGACTTTCTAGGGAATTATGTTCATCAATACGTAAAAAAAATAATCTCTAGAAAAATTTAAAACAAACGTGTAATATGTATGTTGTAAGCATAACTAATATAAATTAGCCTCGTTTTACAAGGACTCAAAGGAGGGTCCACCCTGGGCCGAGGCAAAGCCGGAGCACCAGTGATTTTGTACCTTATCCTATGGGGAAAGGTTATGAAGAATAGTAATAATTTAAGATAAAAATGATTAACATTTATTACTTATTACAAGATAATTTTTTTTTATCAAAACAAATAAAAGTTAATAAACAATTAACTTTTACTAATACACAAAAAAAAAATATATATATATATATACAGAGTGATTTTTTTATCATAACCCACTCAATTACTTGCAGAATAATAATAATTTAAACATTTTTTTTTTTTAATATCTTTAGTTACACATTATTCTTGAATTTTTAACTGTGTAATACTTTTTAAGTTCATCCCTTATGCCTGGTAAGGGTTTAAACTTTGTTTTTTTAAATGGAAACACATATTATGAATTTAATAAAATGTTTGAGTTTTTAATTTAATAGTAAATGGCATTTGAATTTTTAATATAACTTAATTCGTTTATTAGATATAATCATTTTAAGTTTCAAATTTTTTAATTAATATACAGGTATAATACACAAGGGATTATACATAATTTTAACTTGTCAAAGTTAGAGTAATATCAAATTAAAAATATAAAATCAAGAATTTGAATATAAAAGTGATATATGCTTGATACAGTAGCCGTTTATAGCAATAAGACAATTCTTGTGGACATAGTTATTTAAATAAAATACATTATATACGTTTTATTTAAAGTTTGTATAAAGATGTCAACATTTCCGGAAAATTTTAAAATGTTAAGTTAAAATATTTTTCATACGAAAATTGCTATTTTGAATCCCATAGTGAGTAGGTAAAAAGTCAGATTTCTAAAAAAATATATAACAAATAAAAGGGAAATACTTTATATCAATTCAAACCAATTTTTTTTTCAATTTTTAGGGAGAAGAGTTGATCTAGTGTGAGCTGAAAAAACTAAATGACAGGAAAAAAACGCATTTCGTAAAATTAATACCTTTTCAGCTTCACATCGAAACTAAAATGCTTTGTAATTAAAATATAAGGCTGTTAAAAATTAAAAAAAACATGTTAATTATTATAAAAAATAGAAACAATAGAAAATCATTTCTTTACTTACTAAACACCATTGTATATTTTTATATAATAGTTATCTAAATATTGATAACTGTGTAATAAACAATAAATTGATAATAATAAAACAGTTTAAAAAGACAATATGAAATTAGACGTTACCCTAAAATAATAGATGGGTACTATTAACTATATAAAGTAAAAAAGCTAAGTTAGCAGCGTTCCTTTTTTAGTGAATCATTACAATAGTACAATATGGAACAGTATGGAACATAGTAGTGAAGTTAGCTAACCGATTAGCTATTAAACAGAACATGATGGAAAGTGAATAAAAAACAATCCCAACTGCCGTATGCTTCATGACACTTCTTCTTCTTCTTCGTCATCATCTTAATCCCAACTACTTGGGGTCGGCCACCCTTATCCTAAACTTCCACTTGACACAAACTCCCACATCATATACGCTCACAACAGCTGTCCTCAAATCGCATTCAAAACATCCCTCCATCTCTTTTTTGGTCTTCCTCTACCTCTTCTTCCTTCAACATTCATTTCTATAACTGTTCTTACAGCTCTTATCTTTTTAAACGTTTCTATTTCCCGCGGGGGGATCTGCCAGGATCACGGGCCTAACATCCCCGTGGACCCTAGTTAATTCAGTGGGGGTTGCAACACGTACCACTGCTCTTAGTCGGTCATGACTTTGGTTAGTTAGGACCGGTAGGTCTGGGCACACCTGCTTGCTATCAACGAATAGACCCCCCTAACCCAGCCATACCAAGTGAAAGGGTTGCAAACTTGTCACAGGGTAGTTAGCCGAAAGGTAAAGTGACCATTGGCATCCTCTATGGCACCTGGCGAACCATAGAGTATACAGCCTTATCACAGTAACAAGCTCTGCTGTGATGGACCTTTATTTCTTGACTACTCGTGGGAACTATATGAATAAAAACATACGAACGCCACAAAATAACGAACTTGAGACGAACAGGGATCCTACGGACAACCTGTCAGAACAAGAACCTGAACTGGCGACACTTTGCAGAACTTGAAAGTCTCAATGCGAACAACGGGACACACTTGATGAATCGTCTACTAGCAAAGTCAACAAATGCAGACCAGGATTCACAAGATCAACTGGGAGCAGTAACTGACAAAATCGAGTGTCTAAAACTTAGACCTGAAAAACTGAGCGGCAGTCAGAGGCGCAAGCTGAAGAAGAGCCGGGCAATCATGGAGGGCCAAAAGAACCGACCAAAGGAGGAAGACAAGGGAACCGATGACTTGAAAAAGTCAAAGGGAACCGAAGCTCAAAAACCTGAGGACAAGGAGCTAGAACCTCCATATAAGAAAACTCATTGGGTTACCTATGAGGACGTGGTAACCGATGATAAAAAAGCGGCAAATCAGAACCCAGGGCTGAACACGGCGATCTGAAAAGTCCACCATGAGACAAAGGTTGATCCGAAAGGACAAACTTTGTTCCTAAGTGTCGACGAGAAGAGTCAAACTGTAGGAACTGAAGCGTAGTCCATATTTTGAAATGGGCAGAGTTTGCTTCACGGACTATGTTGCCAAGCAGCCCAGAAGGATGTGAAGAAATCAGCTCCACAAAAATCTGGGAAGAGGAAGGCTGAAGAATCACCAGTGCTGCTCGGGAAAGGAATCAAGGCACAGGTAAGAAATAAACAGACTCACTTCACAACTGTCTCGAAAGGCAAGGAAGGCAGTGGGTTACGTAAGGGAAAGGAGCCCAGGAAACCGCCATCCTCAACAATGACCACAGCTGAGGGGAACCTCTCCATGGGTCTATAAGGAAATGTGGAGAGCGAACCCAAGGAACGATCGCCACCTGGGGACGACTGGGGAACACCTCCCACAGGGAGGGTTGTGTGATATAGGGACTATTCCAGACACCTGTATCAAACCCAGTACAGCGTGCTTCTCAAGCATCAACATCAGTTCTCTGAATGGCTGACAATAAAATTCAATTCACGCAAATAAATATGTATCACAGTAAGGGGGCCAGTAGTGTATTACTAAGGACCCTAACTAAGAGGTATACAACAACCTTACAAATAGCACTTATTCAGGAACCATGGATTAATGCTAACCAGATTAAGGAGCTAAATCTAAGGAATTTTAAACTGTTTCACAAACTAGCAGACAAACCAAGAACTTGTATTTTGGTTAATGATAAAGTTAAAGCCAGCTTGATACTTAATCTATTAAGTGCAGACTTGACTATTACTCGTTTCGCTGCGCTACTGTGTCGATTGCATCGGGCTCTACGGGGCTACGAAACGTTGGCACGAGCGCAGTTTCCCTAGCTTGGGGAATCGGGCGCGTCCTCAGGTTGCGGATCAAGGAACGGCCTGCAGATATGCAGATTAGCCGCGAAATAAGCAGTCCATTAATTTGGACTGACGAATAAGCGGTCGCTGACAGCGAGCCTCTTGGACCCTAGCCTAGCCAAGGCAGAAGCGGTGACTAACACTTTAACTCTCTTCCTTGTGATGTGTTCCTTGTATCCTAGATTTGCACTGAGCTACACTCCTAGGTACACAATTTGATTTTTTATCGTTATCTGATGCCCCTGTATTGTAAAATTTGGTCTAATGTAACCTCGCTTCTTGGTTAGCATAATCGTCTCTGTCTTGCCACAAGAAAGCCGCAACCCGTTACTCGCCATCCATCTGCTTACGCGTAATAGTACAAAGTTCATGTCTTCTTCCAACATGGAACTACTGGAGGCAGTGCCTATGATGGCAAAGTTGTCTGCAAACGCCACCATGTGGAATTCTTCCGGCAGTGTTTTGCCCAGTATCTCATCATAGAAAATGTTCCACAGCAATGGTCCAATAGAGGACCCTTGAGGGACATCGCACAACACATCCATTTCCCCCTCATCCGTGTGGAGTTTTCTGTCCCTAAAGTACTCCTGTAACACTATCCTCAGGTATGAGGGTACCTTCTTCCTCCCTAGAGCTTTTCCTATCTTCTCCCATGGGGCGTAATTAAATGCGTTCGCAATATCCAATGACACCAATCCACATAGTTTCCTCCGTCTCAGCGGGCCGTCTTTCGCCTTGTGGACTATATCCTTCACCCTCTCCAGGGCGTCGATAGTGGATCTCCCCCTCCCGAATCCAAACTGGTTTTCTACGATTTGGAATGAAGGTTGCGCGAGGTGCTTCTCCAGTCGTTTCTTCACCACCCTTTCAAACAACTTCTCAATGGTGTTCACTAGACTCAGCGGCCTGTAGGAAAACGGCATCTCTAGCGGTTTGTCCTTTTTCCTGATCAGTACCCGTCTGGATTCTTTCCATTTATATGGGAAGCACTACCTCCTGAGGCATTTATTAAAAACTGCCACTTCATTCGGTTTCATAGTGCATAACGCACTTAATATGAAGTCCGGAATGCCGTCTGGGCCGGGCGCTTTATTAGATGGTAGAGCTTGTGCTAACTCTTTGATCTCGCTCTCTGACACTTCCTCTATTTAGGATTGGTCCTCACATATATGCCAATCGACCATCGGTCTGACCGGGAAAAGTCCCCGTAGAATGCTCTGTAACCAGCCTGTCAATGTGAGTCCAGGTATAGGTCTTCTACCGACCATTTTCTTCAAAACTATACGGTACGGCATACCCCAAGGACGCTCCTCCACCGTCTCGCACAGCTTTTTCCAGATCTCCTCCTGACTCTTCCTAATAGCTATCCTAAGATTTTTTAGAGCCTCCTTAGTTGCAATTTGCAGATCCCTGCACTCGTCTTGTCCCCTGCGCTTCCTCACCCTTTGGAAAGTCCTCCTGTCAACGAATGACTCTTTGCGCAGCTCCGCTATCTCCTGAGTCCAACAATGCGTCGGTCTTTTGCCTTCATAGTAAGACTTACGTGGCAATCAGACGAGTCGCAAGCCGCTTTTAGATAACTGCCTAGCGCTTCGTGAGAACCTGCTGCAATACCCTCGCTATTATAGTCAGCAAGAGTGCTGTTTTCTAGAAAACTATCGAGCTGCTCCTGGTTGAATTTTCTCCAACACCAACTCGTATCCTGCTGCCGATCCGATCTTGGTTCTCTTGCCGCTAAATTAAATTGAATATATCTGTACTTTGTGAGGGGCGGCCCGGGAGTTCGGCGCATTTTCCGGGCAGCGGTCAATGCTCGGCTTACGTGAAAGCGTTACTGGAGCGGGGGCATGATCAGGGTGTTCACCTGGCAAAGGATCGTCCCGGAAAAACAAAATACTGACTTACCAGGTCGTTTCATTTTTTTTTTATTGTTTGTATCTGTTTGTTTGTATATGTTTCGTCTCCCAACCTTAGCAAAGTCCTACCCTCACCTCCACGTGGTGCGGCCTGGGCAACGGATTCTACTCTGGGATCCAGCTAATGGGGGAGGCCACGTCGTGTTGTGACTCAGCTCTTGATTAATTTCGGGGTGAGTCACAACACGGCAGTTTGAGTTTTATAGCGACGTCGGTCGCCCTGAAGCAATACCTAACAGTAGTTCCAGGATGGCCGACATTATGTCGACCGCGTGAAAAAAAAAAAAAAGGACTTGACTATTATCACAGTTACCCTAAGCGATGGTAAGAATATTATAGTAGCTTTAGGATACCTACTATATAAGGTCACAGACCCAGGTAGAGTCCTAACTATGTTTTTTAATTATTACAAAAATGAAAAATTAGAAGTCATCCTAGGTATGGATGCTAATGCTCACCACACTATTTGGGGGAGTAGTAACATTAACCAAAGAGGAGAGGTAATAATGGATCTATTACTGCCTACAGACCTGGTATGGAATCAGGTGTGGAACATTACCGTGAATCCTATAAGGACGCTCAAAAAAACTACAAATCTGCTTTGAAAAAGTCCAAAATAGAAAACTGAAAGAAGTATAACTGAAATATACAACAACTCCCTATAGAAAATAGACTTCTACAATCACTAAGGAATGGTCCAAAAAAAATTGTCGAGGCATTACTACTGCTAGACGGCGTGTTCACCGATAACGATAATGAAACATTATCATATTTGATGAACACACTTTTTCCTGACTCTGGAATTAACAACAGAGAACAGTAACATGATGACCAGGACAAATGTGTGACCTGTGCTGATTGGAAACTAATCAGGAAAGTGATAACCCCAAGTGGAATAAGATGGGCTATAAAAGCCTTTGATTTTAAAGCTGCCGGCTGTGACGAAATTTTCCCTGCACATCTGCAAGATGGGTTAGAGATAATCGTTCTCCATCTTTGCAAAACATTTAGAGCATACCTTGTTTATGGTTATCAACCGGAAAGCTGGCGAAAGGTCAGGGTGGTGTTTATATTCTAACCTAATCGCACTAACTATTATGAAGCAAAATCATACAGGCCAATTAGTCTTACTTCTTTTTTTCTAAAGACTATGGAGAACCTTATTGATAGGTACATCAAGGAGGGGCCTCTAAAGGAGCATCCTTTACATGAAAACCAACATGCGTACCAAACGGTGAAATCTACTGATACAGCTCTACACTGCCTAACGACTAAGATAGGGAAAGCTGAAGAGAATAAAATGTATGCAGTAGGTATATTCCTGGGCTTTCGACAATACTCCCTTCGATACTATGTGTGAATGTGCACAACAGTAAATTCCCAGACACTTTTATAGACTTAGTACAGCAGAGACTAAACACTATACATATATGGTGCAGTAAGTATGATCTATCTGTTCATCCAAATGAAGCAGAGGTTATTATGTTCACATGAAGGAGAATAGGACTAGACAGTCTTGACACTCTTACTCTAAATGGACAAGAAATTAGTTTAAAATCGGAAGTAAAATACTTAGATATTATCTTAGATAATATGCAAAATGGAAATCACATGTTGAGTCAAACTAAAAGAAATAGACCAGGGTATTTTGGAATACTGCTTGGACTATATTAAACCGGTTCTTAAGAATAAAATTCCCTACAAAGTGGAGATCACTACACGTAAAGAATGGAATGTTACACACCTGAATGAAAAAGGAGGATTTGCAATATATACAGATGGATCCAAAAATTCAGGAAAGGTAGGTGCTGGAATTTGAGGGAAGCCACAAATAAATGTCAGTATGTTATTGAGCACAACACCCTCTGTTTTCCAAGCAGAGGTGATGACGATACTGGTAGGGGCTCAGAACCCGCTGGTATACAAAAATAGTAAGATAACTATCTTAAGTGACAGTCAAGCGGCTTTGAAAGCACTCTGTAATGATCAGGTGAATTTAAAGCTGGTCCTCAAATGCAGGGAAACTTTCGAATCACTATAGAGGTTCAACAAAGTTACATTAGCGTGTGTACCAGGACACAACGGTGTCACTGGAAATGAAAATGCTGACTTTCTAGCCAGGAAAGGAGCAGAAACACCTATGTTGGACCAGAACCAGTGGTAGGACTCACTGAGCAATCACTCAAAGCGCTACCCAAGAATTGGTGCAGAGAAAATCACAGGAAAATCTGGAAGTACTTGGTAGTACCTAGACAATCTAAAATGTTTATCAAGACCCCTGGTCTACTGCTGAGTGATCTTAATAACATGACTAGATATCAAATAAGAACCTTGACTGGTCTACTGACAGGACATGGTCACCTGCTTAAACATCTTAACGAAATGGGCGTATCGGAATCACCATTGTGCAAGAAGTGTGGAGTAGTAGAGGAAGACTTATTTCACATTATATGCGAATGTGAAACCTTGTCCACACTAAGATCAAACTACTTGAATAAACCTTTTCCTGAAAAAGAAGATATTAAAAACCTAAGCTCCAGAGAGATACTTAATTTCGCCAGATATACAGGACTCTTTGGTCATCTATAGAGGTGTCTTAATGGTTGGTATAATGTATTAGTACTTCGGTCATAACACTTAGGTGGGTAAACCGAATCAAGACAATTCGGTATGAGGTGCGCACAATAAACCAACAGGTCTGAGTGTATGGGCATTATGTCTTACTCGATAATAACTAAAACTAAAAACTAAAACATTTCTATTGCCTCCATAATATTAAGTTATTTGTAATTATTTACGTTTTCAATTAGTTTTATGGTTTTAATGGAGTGATTATGTGTCAATAAAAGTTCAGCCACTGGAGATTTCTTATTTATTTAAAATTTTAATTTATTGATTAAGGTTATTATCGTCTCGATAAAAAAGTGCTATACGGCAATAAAAAAATACGATGTTGAACGATTATTTAAGAGATTAGTTTTTTAATAAAATTTTACTTTTTAAAATATTAAAATAGCATTTTGTATAATAAATTTTAGTTAATAATTATGCTTGAAAAAAAAAATTATAAAAAATTATTAATATCTTAAAATAACCCTAAGATGCTCTTTTTTCTAGATACACACATTTTACACATTTTAAATTTAGTTAATAATTAAAATTTACCTCAACATATGTCACTATTACTGTACTAATATCAACAAAAAAATTTAAGTAAACTGTAATAAATTATTTGTTAAGCGAAGTTAAAATTAAGCTCAATGACTTTAAATTAACTGAACTACTTATGAAATAAAATATTTAGGGATACTATGCTTATATTTTTTATATCTATTTATGACTATCTATAAAATGTTACTTTTTGAGAAAAATATAATCCGGTATTATAAATTTTAATTTATAATAAACTATTATTATTTTTAAATGAACTCAAAATACCCTTTTTCCTAGACACAAGTTTGTTTTTAAATAAAGTTAATAACTAAAATGATTGGAAACACATGTTGCATTATTGTATTAATAGCAACTAAAAAAAATTACGTATTTTTTTTTTTTTTGTGAAACCAAAATTATATTCAATACCTTTGAAACAACTTGACTTCTGTTAATATAAAGTAATTTGAAAAAAAAATACAGAATGATTTCATAACAATGCCTCATGAAATATTTATGATAATATTACAGCTTATTTTTTTAACAATAATGGTTTTTTGTTTATGTTATACCATTAACTAAATTGTTGATTTCAATAATATTATTCAACCAAAAAAATTATAAGTGCAACTTAATGAATCTTAATTATTACTTTAAAAATATAATTTATAATAATAATAAATATAAATTTATTTATTTGCTATTATTTATTATTTAAATTATTTTCGAAAAATGTGTCATTGTTTAATTAATATATTTAATAAAATTTCCACAAAAAGTTCACAAATATTACTATATTTTTTAAATCCTATATATAGGATTATTTTTATAATATATTTCATTATTTCACTTAAATGTCTAAAATATTTAACAACAGCTATAATTTTTATGTTTTTTAAATCATTTCCTTTTTTATACTCTATATTATTCAATTTTAATAGCTTAATATTTGAAATATTAAAATGTCAATTTTTCTGAGTATTAAATTGTATATCTTAATTTTTTCAATACTTATGTATATTCAAATAGTTAATAGTTTAAAAGATAGAATTAACTTTTTATTCAAAAATGATGGGTGGAAAAATTTAACTGATGTGGAGTATATTATAAATTATAATGTTCAACACACTTTACAAGAAACATTAGAAACGCCTGTAACATCAAATAATTATGACACTCATATTCGTAGTGCAACAATAATTCTTGGATGTTCTTACGCAAACGTATTGAAAACAATTTTTTTTATTATGGACCGTTTTTTGGAGTATTGTGAAACATTAATAAGTTCAGAAAACGAAAACAAATATGCGTACGACTGCACTATTGAACTAATCAATACAATGCCAAATTTAAGTTACTTAGCAACACTAATGAAAGGTGCATTGGTTTCTATAGACAAATTACATCGTCGCCCAATGGTGAATAACAAAAGACTTATTTTAAATGATACAACAACTAGGTTATGTAATAAGGGAACATTAAACATATTATTACCTACACAAATAAATAGATTTAATACTGAATACGCATTAAAAAGTTTAAAAAATTATTTAGCTTATAATGGATTATCCCTAAAAAATGATTTAAGATATTGTAAATTAAAATATTCCGATTTGGACTTATTATGGCAAAATTTTAACACGGAATATGAATTTTTAGAAGAAAAAGTAAATAAAGAAAAATTATGGAGCTTTATATGTCATAAAATCAAACATTTTATCGATCGAACTGTTACTGAAAAGTATAATAATCTAGGATTCAAATTTAACTCGATAACCAAACAAACAATTTTATTAACAAAAACGCCAAGAAAAAATGAACCAGGTATAAGTACTTTCAATTAATAATTAACAAAGTTTTTTTATTTCAGTGGTAGAATAATATTTTGGATTGATATTATTGCCATTTATCATTGTATTAGTTATGTGGTCTGCACATAAGACCACATGCAGTTTAATTTAGATTTTCGACTCAAGATCAGTAAGTTCATAATGTAATCGAAATGAATTCATTGAAAATAACAATTTTTGTTAGTGGTATCTGTACGATAGTTTTAGCTTCGATGCGAAGCTGAGAAGCTGTTAAATTTACCATAATGTCATTATTTTCCCTGGTTCCCCAAAAATTATAATTTTTAAATTCAGTAAATTTCGTCAAACAAATTAAAATACCTTTTTGAAAAATGAACGTACTAGAATAATTTTTTTTATATGAATATCTTACGTATTTCTATTTCATTTGTGTCTGTTGCCACTTTTTCTCAGCTCTCACTGGACCGGTTTCTTTCAAAAATACGTCAAAAGATCACAAATCGTATTTAGTTGAAGACATTACCCTTAAAAATTGAAAAAAATTCCCTCGTTCCCTGCAAATGGGGAAAATATCCAAAAAAATTACAAATTTAAAAATCAATAATTTTCGAAATTTTTTCACTTTTTTTTTTTTAAATTTCCATAACTTTTTGAAAAATCAACAAATCAACATAATTTTTTTTTATACTAAAACCTTAAATATTTACCTTACATTTGATATCATTTTTTTGAAAATTTAACACTTAACCTGCTCATGGGGGGGGGATTAAAAATAGCAACTTTTTTTACAAAAACTAACTTTTTCAACTAAATTTTTGAAAATGTTTCGGAAATACTGCGTCCTTCAAACATATATCAAATTAAAGCTTATTTTATGTACTATAAAATGAAAAAAAAAATTTGTCCCGACGACCTATATTGTATGCAAAAATGGCTACCGTATTCAAAAATATGCTATTTTAACAAATTTTTTTTTTTTAATTTAACACTATCTACAGATTTGCATCGAAGTGTTTTTTATGATAGTGATTTTAATCACTGTCAGATATCATCTATACTGGACCCAACTATGCCACGACCCCACTGTGCCGCCACCCCACTGTGCTAAGTATAAAATTATTAACATTGATAATATTTTAAAAGTAATCTCACTATGGATTTTTGCTTTAATTGATGGTCGTAATTATTTTTTTTTTTTATTATTTAAGGTAATATAAAATAAATGAACTTTGTAGAATCTCAACTCGGAAATTTTTTAGTGTTTTATATTTCAATAAGTTATTTTATATAAAGATCGGAAAAACATATATAAAAAAATATAAACAATTTTACTTTTAAAGAAATTAATGTCTTATAAAAAAACCCAGAACAGTGGGGTCGCGGCATAGTGAGGACGTTGCATAGTTGGGTCCAGTATAGATTTAATCTGACAGTGATTAAAATCACTATCATAAGAAACGCTTCGATGCAAATCAGTAGATAGTGTTTAATTCTAAAAAAATGATGGATAATTACAAGCAACATCAACTTCTAATTCCTTGTTTATACCCAGATTAGTAATTCTTTTAATTATATATTATATAATTTTTATTTTGAATTGTTTTCAAATTATTATTGATATTGATTTTTAATATGTTAAAAGTAATAATTTTTAACCTCCTTTATTTCGTCCTTTAAAGTGAATGTTTATAATAAAAAAAAAAAATGAATTTATTACCATAACTTTTAGCTCAACTTACAAGTTTGAAATTGATATTATTAAATAAAAAAAAATGAAATTGTTAAGATTAATATGAAATCAGGAAATTTTATAATTACTATTTGCAGTACATTTTTCAGAAAAATTCGATTTTTTTGCATTTTTATCGTAATAGATAACTGAAATAGAAATAATAGTAATCATTTCCTAATAACATTTGGTGTTAAAAAAGATTCTACAATGGAAATATTCAGAACTTAATTAATTTTAATGATTTACTTTAACTAAATGAACCAAACAAAACAAAGTTGTTAAAAAGATTTACTCAATTGAGCGTATTATAAAATTTGATTATAATTGTAAAAATCCATCGTTAATTTCAGGTGTAACTTAAGAGTAATAACTTAAACTAATCATTAACTTAAATATCATAAAACTTAAATGAATCATTTGACGTATCGTTGAAAAAAGTGAGGGTTAACAAAATAAATCGTAGCCACAAAAAGAACCACATAGTAAAATAATATTAACGTGAATATAAATTTCTTCTCACGAGGGGAGACTATAGTGATAAGATCCTTTATATTTATTGAAATTATTGAATCTAAATGAGATAAATATCAAATGATTTGAAAATTCTATTCTAACTCAAAAAAAAAATGCAAAATTTTAGAAGCCACAGACGGATTTGAACCTCGTACCTTAAGAGTGAAAGATACAGGTGTTACCCATTCGGCAACTGTTCGTTGCTTTTGTCGCGTGATAAAATTGGCTATTTAAGCTAACTCAAATTTAAAAACTACTTTTTCGACTTTAAAAAAGTAAAAAAATTTTAATAAGTTTAATTTCGTATGTCTTATGAACTTTATCCTATGTCAATTAAATTATATAATATTCATTAAAGTCAGTGTATTCCCCTAATAAGATATTTTAAAATAAAATAAAATAAAATACAAAACCCAGAATTTTAATAAAAAAGAGCATATTTTTGAATACAGTAGCCATTTGTACATAGAAGATAGGTCGTCGGGACAAATTTTTTTTCTTCATTTTTTAGTACATAAAATAAGCTTTAATTTTATATATGTTTAAAGGACGCAGTATTTCCGGAACATTTTCAAAAGTCAAGTTAAAAAAGTTAGTTTTTGTAAAAAAGTTGCTATTTTAAATCCCCCCTATGAGCAGAATGAATGTTAGATTTTCAAAAAAAAAATGATATCAAATGAAAGGAAATAACCTAAGGTTTCAATATAAAAAAATATTATTTTGATTTGTTAATATTTGAAAAAGTTATGGTAGTTTTAAGTACAAAAAACATCCTTATAGAAGATGATTTTTATTGCAAATATTACAATTTTTTTTTTAATTTTGACAGCAATTTGCACATAGTAGTAAAGGTGTCGGGACAAATTTTTTTTTTTTACTTTATAGTACATAAAATAAGCTTTAATTTTATATATGTTTAAAGGACGCAGTATTTCTTGAACACTTTCAAAAAATAAGTTGAAAAAGTTCTATTTTTTATACAATGTTTCAAGTTTTAAACGCCCCCTATATATGGGGAAATTGCCCAATTTTAAAAAAAAGTAGGTCAAATGAAAGATGTACTTATAATGTATTTAGAAAAAAAATTTGTGCTGATAATTACATTTTTCGAAAAGTTATAGCACTTTTAAGTTGAAAATTTAAAATCGAAAATTTTAACACAAAATTAGCGTTTTTTTAACTTCGGCAGTTGTTTACATGCAGAAGATAAAGTGTCGGGACAAATTTTTTTTTTACATTTTATAGCACATAAAATAAGTTTTAATTTGATATATGTTTAAAGAACGCAGTATTTCCGGAACATTTTCAAAAATTTAGTTGAAAAAGTTAGTTTTTGTAAAAAAAGTTGCTATTTTTAATCGCCCCCATGAGCAGGTTAAGTGTTAGATATATATATATATATGAAACCGATATAATTCCTGCTACTACAGTGGAAATAGTTTATTATGATTGCTAATAAATTATTTATTCTTCTTCTTCTTCTTCCAGTTTTAAAGGCCATTAAGGCCCATTGCTGCAAAACAAATATCCTTCCATCTGTCTCTGTTTATAGTCGCTTCAATAATATTGTCTATCCCAAGTTGATTAAGTAAAATTATTTATTATGGTAGTTATTAAAAAAAAATGTCCATGACGGTTTATCGTCAATGTATATTGTAAACTGATTTATGAGAAAATATTCACTTATGTATTCAAAACAGTTTAAAAATATTTAAATTAAAAATAATTATTTAACTTTAAATAGCTTCAACAGAAGGACGTTTGATCAGAAAAACAATTTTTTAAATAAATTTATATGTAATTTTTTCTATCATATTAGAAAGTTAAAATTGGAAGTTCCCATTTAAAAAAATTATTTCTAAGGTTTTTTTCTTGAAGTGACAATAAAAAATTATTTAACTACTTATTATTGTAGAACTTTTGAATCATATATTTTTTTCCTTACAAAAATTAAAAACTTTCAATAATTTCTGAGAAAATGGGTGTCATCCTACATTTTGATTATTCTGTAGAATTATTGACACGTAAGTTCTAACAGCTAACATTTTCAATCCATAATTTACGATTTATTTTTCTGAACATTTTTTAAAAAACTTCTGTATGTCTGATAATCATACAATTATAAATTAAATACTTTTAAAATAAGCTACTTATTAAACTATACGGTTTCTCAACATTTTTTATTTTTTTATCTGATAATGTTATGAACTTTTCACTATTTATCTATAATATATGTTATTCTATATACAGAGTGGAACAGATCTCACTGAAAACTCATATAACTTATGATCTTCATAATATTTTATACTTTATTTTTTTTAATCAATTTTTACAATATAGAACTACAGGGGGTGAACAAAATAATATGAACACCTGTCATATACTCAATATTTATTTATTAATAAGATGTTGGGCCTCCATTTGCTTTTAAAACCGCTTCAATCCTTCGCGGAATAGATTCATAGAGAACCTGAATCGTTTCCAGCGGAATTTTGTCCCATTCTTCTATCAAAATATCCGCCAATTGTTTCAGAGATGTTGGAGGTGGAAATATGCTTCTCACTCTCTGCTCTAAAACAAACACCCCATATTGGTTCAATTATGTTGAGATTCTGATGCTCATTAAACCAAGACTGAACCTTTTTCGCTGTGTGTATTGGCGCATTATCATCTTGGAATATGGCAGTGTTTGGCAGTAATATGCTGGCCATAGTAAAAACTTCATCATTGAGGATATCGAGATGGTCATTGGCAGTAATCCGGCCACTCATTTGAATGATAGGACCAGTTGAATACCACGATATGGCTGCCCAAATCATAACAGAACCACCACATGCTTAACTGTAGGAAGCCGGCAGTCCGGATTATACGCTTCTTTTGGAGTTCTCCATACATAAACCCGTCCATTTGTAGGGAACAATGTAAAAGATGATTCATCGGACCATATAACATTCTTCCAATCATCAAAAGTCCAGTTTTTATAATCACGGCACCATTTCATTCGCAACTTGGCGTTCTTTTCTGTAATAAAGGGTTTTGCAATTGCAGCCCTCCCATAAATACCACCTTTGTGAAACTCCCGTCGTACAGTTTTTGTCGAAGCAGTATTACCCAAATGAGCGTTAAGTTCTGCTGTAACTTTAGACGCGGTAGTTTTATGTTGTCTTGTCACAATCCGTTTTAATGTTCGTCGGTCCCTGTCAGTAACTTTGGATTTCGCCCACTATTACTTTTCGCCGATGATGTTTTTCCGTATTTCGTGTATGCTGTTATTACTGTAGACACTGTCCCTCTTGACACGTTCAACAGTTTAGATGTCTCCGTTACAGACGATCCCGCTAATCGAGCACGCACTATTTGCTCTTTTGGAAGTCCGAGAGGTCACGCATTTTATTTTAAATTTATTTTAACGTTCGTAGTATAACCTGTGTAATACACTAATATGTTATAAATAACTACTATATTGTGATAATATATTAATTTTACGACATGTTATCCAAAAAATATACAGTGTAGCCAACTTGCAACAATTTGTAACTATATTGCATGGTGTTCATATTATTTTGTCCACCCCCTGTATATTTAAAATATGTTTTATGTCTTTTTTTGCAATTACAAAAAATATTTTAAAAATTAATATTTTTATTAATTTTTTTTTTTAATATGAAGATAGCCATTTTATAGATAAGTTTGAAAGATTATCTCTAATCTTTATACAACTACAAGTGTTCAATGGTTAGCCAAGTTAAATGTGATAACAATTATTAATTTGCGTGTTCTATCATTGTAATCATATTATTATAGGATATTCCTTGTTAGGAGATTTGATAATAAATGAACTTATTCACTATTATTCACGTTTCAACCCTTGACCTTACTAACTGAATACCCTACATATATATGTTAGTGTAATTTATAAAAATATGCCAGTAATTAATTTAAATAATAACACATATATATGATCAAAAACTTAAATTATTATAATTTTTTTAATACGAATATTATGTTTTTATGTATTGCACAATGAAGTAAATTCTTGCCACAGAAATCAATCTTTAATTAAAATCAATAATTTATTCAAACACAGCGGCTGGAAAAATATGACTGATGTGAACTACATCACATATTCTAGAAATAATCATACATTACAAGATATAACTAAAAATACTTATAGATATGATAAACAAATACGTTGTTTAACGTTATTACTTGGATGTTCTTACGCCAACATTTTAAATAATATTTTCATTGTATTAAGTAATTTTCAAAATCACTGTAAACATTATTCAAGTCATTTAGACAATTTAAACAATTATAAGTATGAATGCACTATTGAACTTTTAAAAACTATACCTTTTATAACTTCATTAGTAATACTTATGGGAAGCGCCTTAGATGCTTTGGATAAAATCCCTAAATCCCCAGTAGAAAATAATCATATAAAAAAATTTACTTCAAACACATTAATTAAAGATCTGCAAGATGAAAAAATTTTAAAATTGTTACCAGATTTACAAGTATATCAATCAAATACTGATGAAACATTATTGAAAATATTAAGTTTCGTTAGTGAATGGATAGAAGAACTAAATAAAGGCATGATTATTTGCAACATTAATTCTGAGAGTTTGACTTCATTTATAAAAAAAATTGATATGAAATATCACAATATGCAATTAAATGGGATTAATATACAGTTTTATAAATTTCTTAACTTTAAAATAGCATCTATTTCTCAGTGGGCAGTTCAAGAAAAATATATTAATTTAGGATTTGAATTCAACGCGGATACAAATGAAACTTTTATACCAGTTCTACAAAAATCACCAGATGAAGGTAAATATCTTTTATTATAATTATTGTTTTATTTACAAGGTATCAGCGTATTATAGTCTACAACAACAGTTTATATCTTAGTATATATATATATATAATTTTTTATATATTATTATAATATATAAATATTATAATTATTATAACTATTGTATGTTTTTATCCACTAGATATTAATATTATTTCTATATTGTATTTATTACATTTCTAGAAATATTCAATTTCGAAGAAACTAAAAACAAACATGAACCCGAGGACAATTCACCATTATTACTAAATATTCCCGAAAATATAAGACCAGTTAACAAATATCTCTAAAATATTCCACATGGACACAAATCAATCATAACTAGAATACTAAATAGTATAAATAATAAATAATTAAATTTATAATCGACTATTATTCGTTTATATTATAAATAATAAAGTGCACGTATCAATGAATCTTTTATTATTAATCCAATTAATTTTTATAGAACTAATAAATATTGATTTCATCGCTGAATTTAATATTTCTGACAAGACTTAAAAATTAAAAAATACAATATTATTTATATTGTAACAATTACTTAGACACACATCTTTTAGGTTGCTTTATTATTATTAAAATATTTATTAATGGTAATTACATAACGACAAATACAACTGCCTATTGATACATGATTGTGTACATAAATAATTGATAATAATACAGTATAGTCTTTACTACAACACAAAATAATATTATTTTTGTATATTTTTATCCACTAGATATAGATTTTAGTTCTATATTCCATATATTAAATTTCTAGAAAATATTCATTTAAATGAAATTAGGAATAACCATGAAATGGAGGATATGACATCAATATTAATTCACATTCCCGAAAATATGAGACTAATAATCGAATATCTCTAAAATACTCTACATGAACACAATCAATCATAGGTAGAATACTAAATAAAATTAACTCGTAGCAATAATTTTTTAGCTTTCGATTCGGCGAAGCATCCAGACCATCGGATGGGTCTCTTCGGAGACCGGGTATCGTTTTATTTTAGCTTCGATGCGAAGCTGAGAAGGTATTAATTTTACTATGATGTGTTTTTTTATTTTTTTTTTTGTGTCTGTGAACGCTCAATCTCAGCTCTCGCTGGACCGATTTTGATGAACAATATGTCAAAAGATCACAAATCGTATCTAGTCGAAGACATTACCCTCAAAAATTGAAAAAAATTCCCTCGTTCCCCGTAAACGGGGGAAATCCCCCAAAAAATTACAAATTTAAAAATCGCTAATTTTCGATATTTTTTCAATTTTTTTTACTTAAAATTGCCATAACTTTTTTAAAAATGACCGAATCAATATAATTTTTTTTTTTATAGATACCTTAGATAATTACCTATCATTTTATATATTTTTGTGAACATTTGACCCTTTAACAGCCCAAAGGATGGGGTTTCAAAATGGTAACTTTTTTACAAAAAATTAACTTTTTCAACTTAACTTTTGAAAATGTTCCGGAAAGACTGACAATTTTATATATACCTTAAATTAAAGCTAATGTAATATACTTTAATTTGAAAAAAAAAAATTTGACCTCTGGACTTGTCTTCATGGTGAAAATGACTACCGTATGCAAAAATATGCTATTTTTGTGAAAAAATTCTTGATATTATATTTTACATTTTTTAACATTATGTTGCTATAACTTTTTAAAAAATGCATGAATCAACTTTATTCTTTAATGATAAATACTTTATATATACTTCTTTCATTCGACATACTTTTTTTTAAAATCGGACCATTTCCCTTTATACAGGGGGGGTGCAAACCTTTTAAAATGCGTATAGAAAGTAGAACTTTTTCAACTTAACTTTTGAAAATGTTCCGGAAAGACTGACACTTTTATATATATCTTAAATTAAAGCTTATGTAATATACTTTAATTTGAAAAAAAAAAATTTGACCTCTGGACTTGTCTTCGTGGTGAAAACGGACATCAAAGTTAAAGAAAAACGTACGATTTCCGTGAAAAAAATCTCGATTTTATATGTTATATTATTTAATTTATATTTTATATAACTTTTGGAAAAATGTATGGATCAATATTATTATTTTTTTATAATAAATATTTATATACTCCTTTCATCTACACGCTTTTTTTGTAAATCGGATCATACCCCTTTAACAAGGGGGGTCAAAACTTTAATCATGCGTATTGTTACTATGATATTTTAAATTTAATTTTTGAAAGTATTTTAGATATACTGACACTTTTATATATATCTTAAATTAAAGCTTATATAATATACTTTAATTTAAAAAAAAAATTTGACCTCTGGATTCTTGTCTTCCGGTAAAAATGACTACCGTATTCAAAAATTTGCTATTTTTGTGTTAAAATTCTGGGTTTTGTATTTTATTTTATTTTAAAATACCTGACAAGGGGACTACAGATTTTCATAAATATTATATAAATAAAAAATTAATATAGCATAGAAAGTTAAACTTATTTAAATTTGTTTGCTTCTTTTAAGTCGAGAAAAATAACTTTGAAATTTGAACTAGCTTAAATAGCCTATTTTTTCACCCGACGGTAGCGACGTACGGTTGCCGAGTTGGTAAAATTTATGTTTTACACGCTTGGGGTACGAGGTTCCAACCCGCGTATGGCAATGAATTTTTTGCATTTTTTCTTAATTCTTTTTAAGTTAGTATAAATTTTTAACTCGTTTGATTTTTATCACATTTAGATTCAATAACTTCAATAAAGATCAAGGATCCCATCACTTTAGTCGCCCTTTGCAAGAAGAAATTTCTTATTCGTATTAAAATTATTTTACTATATTTTAAGTTTTCGGTTCCATGCAAAGCTGAGAAGATATTTTTTTGTGACTATCATTTTTTTAGTATTACTCTTACATTTTCACTATAACAATTAATAATTATAATAATAACTTTTTGAATAAATGATTATTTTTTATTATGTATTATTATAAATTTTACAAATAATTTATCTTGTAATTTCTTATGATATGATAATATTAACGAGGGATTTTTGATATGTCCGTGTATTCATATGATTATATAGGGACGTATAAGTTTTCAGAACTATATAGATAAGTAGATTCAAATAGAAAAAATTAATGATCCTCCTTTTTAAAATGTAAGAAATAAAACAATTGTAATTCCATATCATGTCACTGAGTCAATGTGTTTATCAGGTTTGTTCATATTTTTTAAGTTTAAAATTCTATGTTCACACCCCTAAAATACATTTTAATACATTAAAAATTAACTATGAAAAATTTGGTTCCCAATGCCAACATTAAACGTGACCTAAGAGGGTTGAAAATTCGATCATAAGGGTAGTTCTTCACTTAATGTGGTTTATATATAAAATTTTTATTTATACATAAAAATTTATACAGAGCTTTTTCTTCTTTTCCCTGAACTTTTCTATTAGTTGCCTCACACAAAATAATGGCTCCATTGTTGACTTACCAGGCATAAATCCAAAGTGGTTTTTAGATACCGAAGTCATATTTTTTATTCTCTTAACTATTACCTTTTCCCAAATTTTTATACTATGACTCATAAGCTTTATGCCTCTATAATTTCCAAACTCCTGTATGTCTCCTTTACCTTTAAATATCGGCACCACAACACTATTCCTCCATCCATTTGGAATTTTCCCTTCTAATAAGATTTTATTTAAAAGCTCCTTCAACCACCTTATGCCAACACCGCCTAATATTTCCCATACTTCTACTGGCATTTCATCTGGTCCTACTATTTTATTCTTTTTCATTGATGTTACAGTCTCCCATACTACTTTCTCACTAACTAAATCTACCAGTCCCTCACTCCAAGAGATATCTTTTAATGTTTCTTTTGGGTACTCTTCATTCAGTAATTTTTCAAATACTCTTCCACTCTTTTTCACATCATCATCACTTTAGAGTACCTCATTATCAACACTTTTTATACACCATATATAATGATAATCTTTAGACCTTTTCTCTCTTACTTTTGCAAGTCTATAGATTTCTTTCTCGCCTTCCTTCGTTCCTAGCCTATCATACAACTTATCATACCTCTTAAACTCCGCCTTACTTAATGCACACTTGGCTTCTTTGCACAAGCGTTTATACTCCATTCAGTCTTCTTCCCTTTTGCTCATCTGCCATACTTTGAATTGCTTTTTCTTATTTTCTATGATTTTTTGAACATCCTCATCTCACCACCAGGTTTCCTTGTTTCCTGGCATTCTACTCCTACTCTCACCAACAATCTCCTTTGCAGTATTCTTTACACAACTAGTAAATCTATTCCACACATCATATATATCCCTCGACATTCCAAAACTAACAAAATTGAAATCGAACAGCAACGTATTTTTTTTTAAATTAACAAAGATAACACTGAAAAATATAACCTAACATGATAAGAACGTGTGGGCATCGCCTCTAGCATGCTCTATATTTCACGGAAGATATAGAGCGCAGCAATACCTACCTGCGCCCTAACAGTCCTTACAATTTTTTTTCCATTTTCCCCTTTCATTTTCCACCATCGAATATTCGATTTATCCCCCGTGTTTCCACTATTTTTGTTAATTCTCTTTCCAGTACACCACAACTCTCTCTCTTCCACATAATATAATCGATCTGTGATCTATTCCTCCCGCTCTTATAAGTTACATAATGTTCTTCCCTCTTTCTAAAATAAGTATTAACCACAACAAGATCATACGATACTGCGAAATCCAGAATTCTTTTTCCATCCTTATTCTTCTCACTAAAACCATACCCACCGTGTACTCTTTCATATCCTCTCCTCTCGTTACCTACATGTACATTCATATCTCCACCTATCAACGCATCCTCATTTCCAGGTACCCCTTGCATCACCTTATCCATCTCTCTCTAAAACACTTCCTTGTCTATTTCATCACATCCCACTTGTAGTGCATAGGCACTTATTACATTCAGCACTTTTTCTTCGAATATCAATTTTACGAACATGATTCTGTCATTTTTCCTAGCTACTTCTACTACTTCACTTTTCATCTCCTTATCCATTATTATCCCTACACTATTCTTTGTACTAGACTTACCTGAGTATATTATTTTATAACCCTCACCTATTTCCCTCGATTTCTCTCCTTTCTACTTAGTCTCTTGCACACAACAAATGTTAATTTTTCTCCTCTTCAATACTTCAACTAATTCTCCACTTCTACTAGTTAATGTTCCAACATTCCAAGTATCTATTTTTACTTAAGAGCCCTTCAAATTAATATTAATAATAGATAAAAAATAATAAAAATATTACATTACAAAAAATTATCTGTTGGTAGTAAGACTAAATTTTATTTATAAAATCAGTATTGAAATTTATAGGTACGTTTTTTCGTCATAATATAACAAGATAATTAATTAAACTTAATAAAAAAAAA